CTTTTTTATTTCATTAGATATTTTAATGTGAAAAATACAACATAAAATTTACCATCTTAATACACGGAGTGTGTGGTTGCAGACGATGCTCCTAAGGTAGTGGAGATCAGAGATCAGCCACATAACGTACGTGAAGTATGGACTGTTTCCTTTATAAGTGAGTGGCTGACTGGGAGCTGATAGATCTGTGGTTTGAGGCCACCGCACAGCATCCCAAGGGTCACATAACTAGTGTGGGAAAAGGTCACAATTCACATTATGAGATTATGAGTTCCACTCAACACATGCCACTTTCACGTCATTTTGAAGTCAGAAAACTGCAAGTCAAGTCATCATTAAGTCATCATTAAGCCATCTGTTTAAAGTGTACTGTTGAGTAATGTTAACTATATTCGTGGTATTATGTTTCTTTTTTAAGCAAAGCAAGACACGGGGCTTTTAATAACCCATCTGCAACAAACAGGTCTTTATTTCAAAGTAACTCCTATTTCTTTTTCTTCTGCTTAAAGGGAAAGAGAATTTAAAAAACTCCTTCCCCAGCATCTCTGTCATTTGTAGTAAACCATGTCATCTCCTATAAAATACATGAAGTTCTAGCAAGAATCTTCAACATCAGAATCATCTATGTTCTAGCGGGTGTTTCACTAAATGATAAGTTATTTAATGTTCTGAGAATATGAGTTCCATTTATTCACTGGAATGTAGAAATTTGTTTAAAAAAATAGTTTCTGTTCGGGGGAATTCCTGAAAAATGTCACACACAAAAAAGCTGGCTTGGCATTGTTCCAAATCAATGATGTGCTGATGGCATAAATTTGCTCTCATTTTGCATTTTGACCTGTTTCTGAAGTTGAGGTGATCTGAAGAAAGTTTACCATTTTGCTGCCCTGAGAAGATAATATTCAATTCTCTCTCTCTTTCTCTCTCTCTCTCTCTCTCTCTCTTTCTCTCTCTCTCTCTCTCTCTCTCTCTCTTTCTCTCTCTCTCTCTCTCTCTCTCTCTCTCTCTCTCTCTCTCTCTCTCTCTCTCTCTCTCTCTGTCACACACACACACACACACACACTGCATAAAGGGGTTCTCACTTCAGAACTAGGAAATATGCTGATAGGCTTTCATTTGGGGTATCATGTATCAGAGGAAGTTCTGAAAAGAACCACTCTGGGAGCCATGGTGTTAACTGCATGGAAGAATTTTAGAATGGCCCTGGTTGGTATGTAGTGAGTCTGGTCCGCAGTCCAGGCTCTGATCAACATGATCAAATGGAAGATGATGGCACAAATGTAATGGTCTGAGATTTCTCCAAAGCAAAACTCCTGACAGTAAAGGAAATATTAAATATTTTCTACCTACAATAGATATTACTATTCTTGTAAATGGTTACTTAGGATATACATTAATCTTTTCTATCTGAGGTAACCAGATAAAATTCCTAGTCAAATTGAATTTAGGACAACTAATAGTTTTATAAGCATATCCTCTGTAATGTATAGCTCTTGATATATAATAGCCATGTTTCTACTAGAAGTTATTGTTTACCTGATATTCAGAGTTACCTGTGCATAGTTTATTTTATCTGGGAATCATATTCTTATATTTCATTCAGAATTGCATTTAGTTAGCAGGTGGAATTCAATTTAAATTTCAATGTGAAGTCAGTGTTATTTTCTGTGCTCTGCCATTTTCAGTCACTGTGGTTCTATTTCTCAACCCATCTCACTGTGCTTTTAGATGTAGAGCTACAATTATAGTATAGTTTCATTTCTCCTTTCAAAGGAGAAGGCCTTAGCAGTCCAATGCAGTGTGTTTTTATATTGATACACCTATACTTCCTTATTAGATGCATCTAAATTTTCCCATCTGTTCTCTCTCTTTTTTCTTTTATGTCTTTACTCACATGTTACTCACATTTATAACTTCGGGTTCTTTTCTTTTTTGTTATCTCAAGACTCAAGATTAAATAGTTTTGAATTTATATATAATTGTATAGTGACTATACACATTTACACACATTGCAGAAGATTAAAAAGTCAATAAATTCAATATGAAAAATATCAAATAAACCATTATAAAGAACTTTTAATCCCTCAGTAGAAATCCAAAACATGGCTTTTTATAGAAGTAGGAAAAACAGAAGCCAGAAACTAAAACAAATGAATTACTCTTATTTTAGAAGGGGAAAATACAGATCTTTTTCTTTGAACTTAGTTTTGTAGCAAGAACTACCTTAGCTGTGAGAGGCTTGAGAAAAAGTTATCTATGTCCTATCCTAAAAATAGTGGGTAGTACCTGTCCGATGGTCTCTGAAGTAAGATGTAAGAGCTAAATATAGAAAACAATTTTTAAATAATATGCTCAATAGAAACTATTCTTTACATCCACAGTGTAGTGATTCATCATATAACACATGTTGTATGCATATGTATCTACATAAGTAAATGCATAAGACTTCCTAGATTGGGGAAGTCTTGTTTTCTGTGAACTTTCTCTACCAAAATGAATACAGAAATAAACTCAGTATAATATCCAGTGTATCTTTTAAAGGAATTGAAAGTTTTGACTTAGGCTTTGATGGCTTTTTAAACATATTAATTGGAATAAACTAGTTTTCCTAGAGGATCTATCCCACACATGATAGTACATGTAAAAATATAGTATTTTGACATTGACATCTATTACTATTAATAGTATTTTTGTAACTCATCCAATAAAATTGAACAGAAAACTGAGGTTTAATCACTTGAAAACCTTCTAACTTGAAGTGGCTCTGTGGCTCAAGTGATAGAGCACTAGCCTTGAGCTGAAGAGCCCAGAGACAGTGCCCAGGCCCAGAGTTCAAGCCCCATGACTGACAAAAAACAAAAACAAAAACCTTCTAACTTAAGCAAGATCAAATTGAATATATGCAAAGTAGATTTTTCTACTTATCATTATTTACATATTTTAGCATGATTCACAATTTATCAAAGAAAAAGGGGCTCATGAGTTATTTATTTTTCAGAAAATCTGATAGTTGTATTTTACTCTCTACACTATTAGTGTGCAGCGGGCAGCTTTGACAATGACTAAAAGCAGGCAACCAACCATCACATCAGAGATGACCATGTTATTATTATCTCAGAATCTCCCATTATGGCATCTGGAAGGAAGCTCTGGGTCCTGCCAGTAACGTGAGGCCAGCATACATGAAACAGTTTGAAAATAATGGAAAACCAAAATGCTTTATGTAGAAGATGAAAGATGCTCCTCTCTCCTTGTCTGTTCTTAGTCAATCTCCTACTTATGCAGTTCTAGCACCATCAGGCTGAACTAACAGGTGATTTGTACATTTTCCATTGGAGGAAGAGTCTTTTTAAACAGCATTGCATGTGGAGATAAGAGCTCTGTAACAGTGGAACTATTTTCATTCCCTTTGTATCAAAGTCTAAGAAACTCTCAGCACCTATCAAAGGTAAAATAGCAAATAGTCAAGATTTGTCTCAACATTCTTAGAAAAAGGGTGGCAACACAAAGGTACTAGTGGAATGTTTTGACATTGGGAAAATGTATACAATGACATCACAAAATTTAAAAAGACAATGATTGCTGGAAATTCCATGGAGAAACAAATCAATTTTTGTGGAAAATAATGATGATCAGTAGAAAATTGTTTTAACTTATGGTCAAATTGCCTTCATTGTCATTTCCCAGAATGAGTCAAGGAGATAAATGTATTTTTTTAATTTTTGCTTTTAACTCTGCAAAAAAAGACATGAATGTATATCCCATAATTAAATTATAGTAAATAACTTATTAGTTTTTTTTTTCCATCAGATAAAAGGAGAGCAAAGAACACAGTGTATTAGGCAGGGAAAAAAAGGCTGTCTATAGAGCATTAAATTTAATTTTGGGTTCAAAGAAGAGCCATGCAACAAGAGACATTATATAATTTCACTATTTTTATAAACATGAATCATCAGTTCATGACAACCTTACACTGAGACACAACTAGTATTTTGCCATATCTAAGTTCAAAGTTTAAGCATAGGAAATTGTGTGTCCAGATTTCTGTAGTTATTTTCTACAATGGGTCCTGGCAGTCAACTATTTCCATTTTGGACATCTCCATCCAAAAGATGATAAACATAGCATGTGGCACATCTTCAGTATTTCATTTTAATTGGATATTTTATCAAGTATCCTACTATTCACATTAACAAAAAATTGTTGAAAGGGAAGATATGACACAGGAAGAAAGTACTCTGTTTTGTATGCTAGCTCTGCTTTATATTATGACCAATGTATGTCAGTTATTACTTTTAAAAACTGATTCTATATAACAGAATAATAATTTTATAACCATCCTACCATTTGTGATGCTAAAAAGGGATCCTGATTTTTTTGAACTTGATGGTATAGATTCATTCAGCTAAGAAAGACTTCAGATAAATATCGGGTGAGCACTGAGGTTAAAAAAAAATTTACAAAGTAGGAATCTTTTTTATGAGATGACATTGGTGGGCAGTCACCTAAAAAGCCACAGTAGAATATGATTCATAATAGAGCTATATACATCATGTTTAAATTTAAGAATTAATGCTTATTGATTGACTGGTTTTTAGCTTTCAAAAAGCTGGTACATAAAGCAGAATCATTTCTTACACTAAGCAAAGATACTTCTTTTACAACCCTAAATTTTATCCTGTTTCCTCTCTTCATCACTCCTGCTAAGGCTGGTGACAGAAGTGCCCACAATGCCTCAGATAAGTACCTCCACCGCGGCCGCTTGCCACAGCTACTCACCTTTCTGTGCCTGAGAATTCTCAGTTGTCAAAGAAGGAAGTGTTCTCTGACTCTGAAATTATTCGAGCTCCTTAAAGAAAACCAGACAGCCATTGAGGATTTTTGTTGTTACTATTGCTATTTTACCTTTTTTAAACTGAATTACAGCCTTAACATTGTGCCATCTCTAAGTGGTAGTGAGGTACATTGTTAAAATTCGAATACTCTCTTCTTTATTGCAGGTTTCTTTTCTCCATGGAAAACTCCAAAGCCTGTAAGTTGAAATTATTACGTTTCTTTCTTCTTTATTCCTAGTTACTATATAAATCCATTAAATCGGAGTTGAATTGTGTGACCTTAAAGTCTCTTCCTCCGAGATGCTGTGATAATAATAGAATAAATTTGCCGTGCTCTTCTTTTGGGAAGGGGAAAGTACTGGGGCTGAACTAAGGACCTTGTGCTTACTTGGCAAGCGTGCTACCCTCTGAGCTACACCTCTAATATTTTTGCTTCAGTTGTTTTCCAGGTAAAGCTTTGGGCTTTCTTCCCAGGCCATCCTCAAATAATGATCCTCCTAATATCTACCTCTAAAGTAGCTAGGATTGCAGCTGTGAGCTATTACTGACAGCCTCTCTGAGTCCTTTTCTCTCATATTTGTCCCTCCACTACAAGAATAACTCTTCTTACTCATCTATAAGATGCCCATTTTTTAAAATATATTTATAAGATGAACACTAACACTATTTGGGCTAATATAATGAAAATGCTTTAGAAACCTTTTGTTTTTCCCCATCACAAATACTACACAGTATTTTTCATATAGGAGTTTTAAAAGCATAGGGCCAGCAGTCTTAACATGCAAATTAAACCTAGTTGACAAGAAATTTAGCTCCATATATTTATATTTACATTTGAATATTTACAGAGAAATATACGTATCTGTATATTGTGCATATGAATACATATTTACATCTTTGCATATGTATGTTCCAGACATGTGCATATGTAATTAGTACTACATAATAAATGTTCAAATTTATATTATATCATATATATATATATAATGTGTATCCCACACCTGACAATCACTCAAATAGACACTGATGGGCTGTCATCCCCTAACCTCTCCAGGCTTACTTCCCTCATGGGACATGGAAACTAGTTTTTGCAAAGATAGGTTAGCCAACTTGGCTTAGCAATTAGAGATGTTCTTTACTTGCCATTAAATTGAAACTCTTTGTGTTCATCACATCTCCAGCACTAAAAATAAAATGCCAGGGAAAATTAACGTAAAAGAGAACAGGCTGTTTTCAGCTTAGTCTTTCAGGTTTCTATTCATGACTGGTTAGCCCCATTGTATGGAAGCACCTGATATTGCAGAAGGTGGTGGAACAGGAGTGCTTACTTGTTCTGCAAAGGAGAAGAGAGAGTAAGGAAGAAGACAGGAACAGCGCCCCATAATCCCCTCCAAGGGCAACCCTCATTCACCTAAGGATGGCCCCCTAAACCTATCTTTGTAAGATTCCATCACTTCTCAAGACCACTATCCTGAGGACTAAGTCTTTTTAACACAGGAATCTTTTAGAGAAATTCAACATGTACACTCTAACACTATTAATTGCCCAGGTCCCAAAAGTTGTGGCCATTTTCATAGGATCTCATAGTATGGTGATTTAGAACACACTACCCTAACAAGAATGTCTCATCCTAAAATTGGAAGGGTTCTATGGCTAGGCAGAACCTTACTAAGCAACTCCTCATTCCGGATTTGACTCATCTAATCTATATAGAGAATATCAGATGGGGAAAGTCCTGGGCATAATAAATAATTGGTAATGCATGTGACTTTGAAAAGAGGTCTTTGAAATTTGAATTTGGTTTCTCACATCCAGCTTCTGAATAGGCCTTTCCTTTTCTCTGTCTTTCTCCACTAACTTTACCTAACTTAACAAGGAACCAACCTGGAGCTTCATCACCGTGCCATAATTATGCAATCTAGTGATTTCCTTATATGTACCACATTTATACAAATTATGTCATTTGGCATAATTGCAGCATTTGCTGTCATTATAGTAATTACATCTATAGTCAATAATTCCAAAAAAAAGGTTTTATGGAACTCAACATACAATTAATCCTGAACTTGTATGTCTGTGTAAAAGCTGAGACTTGGACCTCCAGGTCTCAGGCTAAGTAAAGATAGAAGACATTTAATTTAATGTCTTGGGTGTATCTTTCAGAAATCATTTAGACTGAAGACTTTGGCAACAACAACACATGTGGCCTAATTGTTTAGGTGAGGACTCTGAAGGCATACTCCCTACGTTCAAGTTTCATTTCTTCTTCTTATACCCTGTTTCCTTAACATACTGTTTGAGCTCTCAGTGTCTTAAGTTCTAGTGCAAAATGAAAATACTAACAATACTTCTCCTAAGATTATTGTGAAAATTCTCTGAGCTAAACTACAGAAAGTGCTTTACAACAGTGCTTCTACATGTTAAGCTCAAAAATATAAAAAGCTATCACCATAGAAAGCAGAACCCTGATGCACAAACCTTAGTGCGTGAAAGGGTATACAATAATATACTCACAGTATATACATTTATACATTTCCCCCCAAAGAGGACTATGAACATACTTAGAATAAGAAAAAAGTCATCTTGAATAAGACGTAGCCTCCTCTTGGACCTGTGCCACTCAATGATCCTCTTCAGTCCTCTTTATCCATATCTTAAGCTAATCCATACTGGGAAAGTCACCTCCTGTTTAACAAGTAGGATACTAATTATAGTGAGTTCTCTGCATCTGGGAGGAATCTGCAAATACAGAATCAAGCCTTCATCCCCCGGCCTTACCTAAAATAGTGACAGCAGCAGGTTTAAACTACTCTAGCCTCTATGAGGAGAGAGAGAGAGAGAGAATCTAGTGAGATGTTTGTAAATATTGGTTCAAGTATGAGCCCATTAGGACTAGCCAATGAGAAGCCCAATAAAATGCCCACTTAATTTGGGAAACAGTAACTCATGCCTGTAATCTTAGTTACTTGAGGGACTGAGATGAGGATCATGATTTGATTGCAGCCTTTATAGATAAATTGGTGAGACATCCTTCTTAACCAATAGCTGTGTACAGTGGCAAATGCATGTCATCCCAGTTATAATGGAAAACCTAATATAGGCAGATCACAGTCTAAGCATATGACCTCAAAAATAACCAACACAGAAAAGGCCTGGAGACATGTCTTAGTGACCAAGCACTTGCCTAGTAAGCACTAAGACCTGGGTTCACAGACTAGTACTGCCAACAAAAAAGAAACATGGTTAAGAAATGAGTATCTTACATAAAACACAAACTCTAGGTAGATCAAACCCAGGAAGACATAGAGTAAGAGTAAGTGAGGTCTGAAGCCCTGGGCAAAAGAGATAAGATCAGATCCAGAAGGTTTATGAAAGTAGAGAGATACAGTGCCCAAGTGGAAAGCAAAAGTCTACAGATCAAGATATCTCAAGAATCAATGCTTTAGAAAGTACAGGCTGGCCACCATAGCCTTCAGAGCTAAAGCCACCAGGTAATCTAATTTGGAGGGAGCCGGAAGTGTAGAGGCAGAACTGTAAGTGTGCTTTTTCACGAGCACAATGATTTCCTGTTTTCAAGGGGTTTGTTTTGTTTTGTTTCAAGAAACCCAGACCAAAGGTTGATAAATGGCACAGCAAGAAGTTGTGAATGCTTTAGTAAGCATGAACTGAACTCTTGACTAATTTCTCAATCTCTGTGCTACAGAAATTGTAGAATTTGTCAATCTGCCACAGAAACTTTCCCAAACGGTGCCCAAAGCACTATTTGTTCTGTAGTTTCATGATTGTTTTTTAGAAATACTAATATCTCACCGGAAGCATGTTCTCTCCAATGACTGAACATGAGCAATACAATAGCAGCAAAGTGCACGTGAGCATCAGAAGCCATTAGTGGCAGATGAAAGCAGTAGGACAAATAGGGTATTCTAGCATCTCAACATATTTCATATTTCTACTTTGTTCACTTTTAAATATTATGTATCTGAAGGTTGGAAACAAAAGGGAGAAAGTCACAGCCAGAATGCATCCATATGGTACCTAAAGTCAGTTCAAGTGAACAATTAAAAAAAATAGAGTGTGTTTTTATCCACAAATGTGGGCCTTCCACATCTTAAAGTCAATCTAAATGGATGACAAAACATTAAAGAACAGAAGGACTTCCTTTCTGAATTTTGTTCTTCTGTTAATTGTGAAGTGCATATTTAAGGGATTTTATTAAATAGGAGCAAACGGCTCCCTCAGTAGAAAATTAGCTAGAACTCTAACCATATTCCCCAGTTATTCCCCTCCCCCATTCCCACTATGTTAGGAAACTGCTGTTAGAGTTAATGATTGATTCTGACCAGGACCCATTACTACACCTCAGACAAACTTCTTACCCACTGGAGTTGAAGCCATGACCAAAATATAGTCAGTGTGGAAACAAAGCAGGCCAGTGAAGCAGGAACAGAAAATTATGATCCACGCTGGGCATTGCTAGCTCACACCTGTAATCCTAGCTACTAAAGAAGCTGAGATCTGAGAATCACAGTTCAAAGCCAACCCCAGAAGGAAAGTCCATAAGACTCTTTTATTTTTTTGCAGGGGGCGGGGGGAGAGGGGCGGTCTGGTCGTGGGGCCTGAACTCTGGGCCTGGGCGCTGTCCCTCAGCACTTCAGCTCAAGGCTAGTGCTCTACCACTTGAGCCAGAGTGCCACTTCTGGCTTTTTTCTTTTTCTTTTTTTTTTTTTTTGCTTATGTGGTGCTGAGGAATCGAACCCAGGGCCTCATGCATGCAAGGCAAACACTCTACCACTGAGCCACCTTCCCAGACCTCCATAAGACTCTTATCACCAGTTAACCATCAGAAAACCAGAACTAGAGCTGTAGCTCAAAGTGGTAAAGCACTAGCCTTGAGCAAAACTAGCCCAAGGACAGTGCCTGGACTCTAAGTTCAAACCCAGGATCGTCTCCCCACCTCCCAAAAACAAGAAAAGAGAAAAGAATGATATCAGTCCCAGTTTTGCCTACTTCATGATGACATAGTGAGGACCAAAGAAGACTGCGTGATAAGGGTCAACTGGGAAATATTTAACTGTGACACGAACAGTGGCATTCTAGGGAAGACATCAGCAGTCCTGCAATAAATGAGACCTCCTAGACAATAGAACCGTTCCAGAATCCCAGATGGTTATATAATTATTTATAAGTTATATGGGAAATGATAGGATTTTCAACTATTGGAAGTTGTTGGGATGTGTGTGTAGGTGTCAAATGAATATGCTCAGACTACTTTATCTTCTGTTTTAGTAAAGTGGTACCATAAATTGGGACCATCTTAGAAAGGGAGCAAATAATAGCTTACATTTCTGAGCACTTACAAATTACCTTGTGAGACATGTTATCTTTATAGGGGAAAAATTCAGAGAAATTAGGTGATTTGGTAAAGATTACCAAGCTAATCGGTGACAACTTGTATGAATTTATATTGAAGCATCAAGACTGCTTTTACTTATAACAATCTAGGGTGTTTAATGTCATTTTATTCTAGTCCTGTGGACCAAAGTTTTCAATGTTTCACAGGAAAGAAAGTGTAACTTGAATGTGACAATAATTAAGCAGTAATAAACATAATTAGTAATCGTAGAAATAATTAGGCAGTGGTCATTGCTTCTGTTCCTCTTCACTTTTCAGATAATGGACCGATGGGAGAATCAAGGCAGTCCTCAAACAAGCTTATCTGCTCCGGCCATACCGCAGAACCTGCCCTTCCCACCCGCCCTTCACAGGAGTTCCTTTCCTGACTCAACAGAGGCCTTTGACCCACGGAAGCCTGACCCATATGAGCTCTACGAGAAATCTAGAGCCATTTATGAAAGTAGGCGTAAGTGAAAGCCACATACAACAAGGGCATATCAACAGTAGCTGAACCCCTGACATTGATTTAGCAAGGTTTTACAGTCTGGGGTCCAAAGGAATCTCAGAATCAAATCAGCTGACTTAAGACCATATGCAAAGCCTGGATTCCCCCTCCCTTTTTGTAATTTTATCTTAATTATCAAGTATTTATTTATGGGGCACAACATGAGGTTTCCATACATGCGTACGTTAAGGAATGATCAAATGGAGCTAATTAGCATACAAAGAAAGAGTGTTTAATCCTTCATGAGAATGTCTAAAATTTTCTCTTAACTATTTTTAAATGGACATTGATATTAACTATAATCATTTTGCTGTGCAACATAATTTAGTGTCTTCTTGTCTAACTGTAACTTTTTAGCCATTGACTTTAAAAAGCCTGTTGATTCTTAAAATAAGTTTATTGTTATCTTTTGATTTAAATTTTGTTTTCTACTTTTTTTCCCCTCTAAACACTTTCCTCTTCCCATTCCTTGGGGAGAGGAGGGAATTACTAGTTTTAACTTACCAAATAAGACAAAGGATTATATGGCTGTTTTCTATGAAATTAGGGCCTTGGATAAAATATCAACCAAGTCTTTTCAACTTGTAGTCATGAAATTAATTGGTTCCAAAAGCAGGGGAGAGCCAAGGTCAAATATTTCTGCTTATCCTTTAGTGCAATTGGGGGCATTGAACATTGTCTTAAAATATTGTTCCATTTGAAGGTCTTCTAGAGTTGTATCACTGCACTTTATAGCTATTAGAAAACAAAGATTTTTGATATTGTATGTATATTAGCAGAGCCTCTTCCTTCCATTTCTCTGGTCATTTCTTTCACTGTGAGAGGTCACAAGTCTCAATGCCATGTATAATAACCTGAGTAATGATCAAGAAATCTAGCCTGGTGAAAAGGGTTTTTTCTCTAGTGCTCCCACTTACAATCTGCTGATTTCCTTTGCTTCTGTGTTCTCCCAATGTCTTAGCTCCAACTTTATCATCTGAAGCATAAATAGGAAGTTTTAAATTGTGTGTGATCTCAAAGGATCTCAAATCTGTTTACTCTTTTGATGAGTTGAGGGGCTGAAAATTATGCACCCAGCTGGTAAAGGGAAAAGCAGATATAATACCTTTTCCCCGTCCTCTACAACACTTTTAGAAGTCATTTTGGTTGATAAAATAGGTAGGACAGCAGGCCACTGAGAAATCATTTTCATCAAAATAAACCTATACATGCCCACACTTTGAAATAATCAGCTTCATCTGAGCTACTGTGTTCCATCCGGCCACCATATCCTTAGAGGGCTGGATCATTAGAATGCTTGCTGCAGTAGAGTGAGAGCAAAGTCGGCATTTTTACCTGTATAGCATAAGGTAAAAATTCAGGGTACTAGTGCTCATTAAACTAAATGAAAAAGAAAAAGAAAGGAAAAGGTATCAGCACATTTTCTGTTTCGATAAGCAAGTATTTATTGAAAACGCACTTTCTCCCTGCACTGTGGGGAAGTGCCACAGATGAGCAATATGTTCTGCTCTCACAAATGTAATGGGGAAAGAAGCATGCGTGTGAACAAGTAGAGGGCAAGTAATAGCAGAAGTCTTAACTTGGAGGGAAGATCCACCTTATAAGATTAACATACCAGCCTCACATCCTGGTCTTGCTTGATGTTCTTGTTAGATTTAGCATGGAGTGGTGCTTACTTCTGGTTTTGTGTTTTTGTTTTCATTTTTGTGTTGTCCTTTCGTTAGTCCTTCGCTTCTTTCTTTTGGCAGTTTCTTGTCCAATGCAAAGCTTTATTAGGCTGGCCAAAGACCAGGTTGGTGTTTATTCCGTTTTCTCTCTGTAGCTGTCTGAGAGCGTTATGCCCTCAGTTTCTGAACAGTCATTGTACATGACCCTCATGCAACCCCGGAAGAATTCTAATTTCTTTATCCCAACCCTGCTGTGCCATTTCTGTTCATTGCTTTCCTCTGTGCACCTTAGACAAACCAAAGAAACGAGCCACCTTAACCTCCCATGTCCTCCTCCTCCCATCCACCCCCTGGGAGGTCTCCATTCACCCCACCTTTATGCGGCAGCAGCAAGAGCAGCAAACTTCTAGATTCCCACCTTCAGTGCAGTGCCCTTGCCCCTGCTACCATGGCCACTGCTCTCATCACACTCCACGTTCTGCTTTCCATCAGCTCTCTCTAATGTTTCCAAGGTCACAGTAATATTTTCAGGTCACAACTTTCAAGAAGCCAAAAAGCAGGAAAACTCATTTCCTTCCCCATTCTTCCCTTCTGTCATGTTATTTCCTAGCACTAAATGGAGTGTGAATGAAACACAGAAACTGCATCGAGCTAAGAAAAGTTCTACTCCTGAAGACCAAGGAAGTCAAAAGAGCACGCTGCTGTTCTCTGTGGCCCCTGAACAACTCTTCACTTTCCTCTGCTTGTGGGCAGTGAGCGTCTTGAAATAAGCAAGCAGCTCTCTGTCCTCTGAACATTTCCTATTTACAAGTATGAAACAGTTCCACTCTATCCCTTCACTTTTTACAATACTGAAAAAGAAATCAGTGTTTGCAAAACTCAGTCTAATTCTTACCTTCAGACTTTTTCACTCAATAGCTATAAAGGATATATGCTCAAACAAAGGCCCATATTTCAAATTTTGGTTGTTGACTCTTTGTATTCTTGAATCACGTGCATAATATTTAGGTTTGGTTCTATTGTTTTCATGTCTCCAAACTTCTTCAGGATAGAAAGAATTAGATATTGGGCCAAGGGAAGGACAGGAAAGAATCTCAATCAAAGCTGGCAGCATCACATTTTCCCTGGCTGGTTCCTGCTCTTACAACCATATCTAAAGCTAAAAAGATGTTTGCATTCGCATTCAAAACTAGGTTGCAGTTAACAAATAAAAAGATGCCCCTCCACCCACAGTTCTGGGCTGTAGAGAGCTACAGAAAGTTGGTTCTATCAAGACTGTCAAGAAATATTGGAATTCAAGTCACCATCTCCCACACACACCCCAGCAAATGATGGAAATTTATCAAATGATGTAAATGCTGTTGTGCCTCATTTGACTCATAATTACATTATGCTGACATTTTAATGAGCAAGCACAGGACATCTTAATAAAGACGTATTCCTGGAAAAGGAAATGTGATTTTAAACAAGTTTTCACAGCCATAGGCTCTTGGAGCTACATGAAACAGAACATGACAGGTGCATGCTTATAAAAGAAAAACCAGAAACACCAACTATCTTCATGAGATCTTTGCCAAAGAAGGCAAAAATGAAAGAAAGACAGAGGAAGGAAGTCTCCTACCCAGCGGGTAGACAATGCCTTTGATTTCAGAGCATTAGGCACCTTGCCCAGAGGGGCCACCTCCAGGCTCCAAATCAATCAACAAGAATGTGAAATGCTCATTATATGTCTAGAACTTGAGAAAATTCCTGAGAAATCGTCTCCATGCATCAAAAGCTTACAGTGAAATTGGGGAAACAAATGCATAGAAACAATTCCTGAACAATGCTGCTTTACAAAGCCCAGCAAATAGCAGTATTTGAATGTGTCAATAGTATAGTGAAAGAATTTGAATATTCCATTTCTCTGTGTAAAATAATAATGAATGAGGAAACTATATTTTAGATATTTTTGTGTAATCAAAGGTGTTACAGGAAAACTGTATAAAAAGAAACTTTTCCCTACTAATTTTATTGTTTTTAACCTTAAGTTTTATACATTAATGTAAAACTATGCCCAGAAAAAAATCTGAAGGTCTTGGCCAAGGGAGCATCTAGATTTTGTGTTAATTAAACTTGAGCCTGTGACATTACAGGCTGAATATTTCTTATCTGAAGTGCTTAGGTGTTATGGATTTTGGATTTTTAATATATTTGAATACTTGTATGTATATAATGAAACATCTTAATGATGAAACCCAAAGCTAAACACAAATGTTTCATGTGCATCTTATGCACATAGCCTGAAGATTCTTTTATACAATATTTGTTACATGCCTACTCTAAATATAATCTTCCACATGAGGTCAGGTATAGAATTTTCCACTTACGAAGCCCTGTCAGCATTTAAAAAGCTTTGAATTTTGAAGTATTGAGAATTGATTTGAGTATTAATAAATACTCAACCTATTACCATCACTTCTCAGAAAAGAACAACTATCTCCCCGCTTTCCTCCCTGCCAAACAATTAGAAAAGCATCATGTTTTTCTTTGTGTGGAACTCTGTTTATGACTGACTTCTTGCTTTTCTGTTTCTTGCAAGTTTAAAAATTGAAAGCAAAGGAAAATACACACCTTTACACAGTGACATGGCCATTCTATTTTAGATATCTATCTTTTTATCCCTGGGCTTTTCTTATGAATCCCATAATTAAACAGTGTTTCTAAAGGCCTTTACTGTTTTCTCCCCTTTCAACTCCTACCTGTAACTGTGCTCTTGCTTCAAGCATGTATGTCTGTCTGATCTGATAAGGAAATATTTGTAATGGGACAGTCCTGATTTAGGTTGTCCTCATATAATTATTAATAGCTCCCCTGTTACCTTCCAGACCATCCTCATTTGAATGATAAGTTATATGGTTTCCCATTATTATAAAATATATTCAGGAAATAACCATTTTTACAATCCAAGAATAGCATATATCTCAATGTACAGAACTTAAAGGAAAAATTAGTATTTACTCAGAAAAGTAATTTTAAAGTAATTGATTTGACTAATCAATTTTTTGCCTCTTCATCTTTTGTCTCTAATTAGAGGCTTATGTTTTATTGTTTTATTGTTTTAGTAGCCAAGTTCCCAATGAACCACCTTTTACCTAAAATTGTATATATACTAAGTAGAAAAAAAGAGGTTGTAAAGTTCCCCACAGTTAAGTATGATGTGGGTTCTCATTCCTACCACAGAGTAAATCAGATTCAACATAGCAATAATAACAGAATGGAAAGGAAGTTAATCTTACCTGCTACTTGCCCCTA